ACAAGTCCTAGCTCCACCCCTTACCAGTGGGCAAGTCACTTCACCTCACCTCACTGTGCCTCAGTTTCCTCATCTGTACAATGGGGATAATAACTTACCGTAACTGTTATAGGCATTAAAGGACATGACAAGAAGTATCCAGCAAGGGCCTGACATATACAACATGTTCAACTCATGACTGCTGAAGGTGACACACCACCATTATCCCCCATCACCAGGGGTAGAAGGGCAGGCTAGAGTCAGGCCTGGGGCCCAAAGAGCCCTTCACCCCATCACATGCCCTTTTCTTCGGGAAGAGGAATGCCCATGTGGGAGGGGCTGGGGAGAAAGTGCTGGGGTTTGCAATCCTTACCCCGCAGCTTCCCCCCAACCACACAAACACACCCCTTCTACATACCCTTCTGGGAGAATCCTGCCCTCCCAGACACAGCGCCCTGTCTCCATTCTCCCAGGCACTGAGACCACAGCTGTGGTCCAGCTGCAGAACCCAGCCCAGCCACCCGCTGGCCCTCTGCCAGAGACAGGAGGTGGGGGAGAGCTGTGCAGCTGGATACTGGGCAGGGGTGGGCATCGGGGACTGGAGCTGGGCCTGGCCTTGTGAGCACATTGTCTGAAGCTGGGACTTAGGTGCGGTTTTGCCACTAACTCACTAAATGACTTGAATTAAGTCCCCTTTCCTCTCTGGCCTCTGTTTTCCCACCTGCGAAACTGGAACGGTGTATTGAGCTCTCTGTGTCAGACACAATTCTAGGGATACACTAGCACTGCAGTCCCCAACCCCTGGGCCATGGACTGGTACCAGTGGTGGCCTGTTAGGAACTGGGCCGCACAGCAGGAGGTGAGCGGCGGTCCATAGCCGCTCCTCATCTTAGCATCACCACCTTAGTTCCACCTCCTGTCAGATCAGCAGCGGCATTAGATTCTCATAGGAGCGTGAACCCTACTGTAAATTGCACACACGAGGGATCTAGGTTGCACACTCCTTATGAGAATCTAATGCTTGATGATCTGAGGTGGAAATGAGGTGGTGATTTGCCAGTGCTGGGGAGTGGCCGTACAAATAAATTATAATTAGCAGGGAGGCTTGACCATAATCTATCAACTGCTTGCAGACTCCTATCAAAACCCTATCAGTGCCTGTAGTCTCAGCTACTTGGGAGGCTGAGGCAGGAGGATCGCTTGAGCCCAGGAGTTTGAGGTTGCTGTGAGCTAGGCTGACGCCACGGCACTCTAGCCCGGCAACAGAGTAAGACTCTGTCTCAAAAAAAAAAAAAAAAAAAAAACCCTATCAGTGAGTGGCAAGTGACAATGTATTAATAATAATAATAGAAATAAAGTGCACAATAAATGTAATGCACTTGAATCATCCCCAAATCATCCTCCCCACCCACACCCCCACACCCCTATCTGTGGAAAAATTATCTTCCATGAAACCTGTCCCTGGTGCAAAAAAGGTTGGGGACGGCTTCACTAGCAGACAAGGCAAAGTTCTTGCACTCAGGGAGAGAGCTTCACTCGACCAATATCTAACAGGTCAAGTGGTGAAAAAGTCTATGAACAATAATTAAGTGGTGTGATGGGGCAGAGAGTGAGGGGTCTGGGATGGCTTTTCTTAGAAGCTGACATGAGCAGAGGAAATGAGGAAAGGGGCCATGTGGATATCTAGGGGAAGCATATTCTGGGCAGAGGGAAGAGCAAGAGGCAAAGGCCCTGGGGCAAGAACTTACCTGGCAAATTTTTAAAAATGAGGAAGCAGCATGGCTGGCAGAGAATAAATGAGGGGAGACGAAGACCAAGGCAGGTAGCTCCCAGCTTATGGAGACTAACGGCCATTGTAAGGACTTTGCATTTTACTCTGATCAGTGGGCCACAGGAAAGCCAGGCCTGGGCTTGGGTGCAGAGCCCACCTGGTGCTGCATGTGCCCCTGTGTGTGGGCACCAAGGGGGAGATATCTGACCCCTGCGCACTTACCCTGGTGTCCTGGGCAGGTCCTTCAGGAAGATACAGCAACAGGGCAGGGATTAGAGTGAGACATGTGAAACCTGGAGTGAGTTGAGACACTTGGCGCAGGTAGAAAACTTAAGGGGATGTCAAAAAAACTCAGTAATTAAGATAAAATAATATTTTCCTGCAACATGTTTAAAAATCAGAATTAATGCCAAAAATTCCATGATGAACAAAATGCCAGCATTTTAAATAAAGACAGGATCTGACCATGAATTTGCATGATCCTCTCTCACTGACCTCACCCTAATCTCAGCCCGGGTTCCAATAAAACTTTATTTACAAAACTAGGCAGCTGGCCCACAGAGCTGTAGTTTGCCCATTTGGTTTTTTAAAATACTGCCTGAAAGTATTACTTAGGTTGGCACTACCTAAATTTTTCACCCTAGGCCATGGCCTCACTTCCCTCACCCTAGTCCTGGCGGTGCATAACAATGAAGCCTTAGCGTTACACCTTGAGGGCCCCAGTGCTCACCTCCCCTGAGGCTCAGAGAGGCAAAGGGACTTCTCCAAAGATACACCGGGGCGTGATGGGGCTGGGATCTGAACTCTAGTCCCATGCCAAGGCCCACTGCCTGGCTGTCACACTCTACCATGCTCCATCCCAGAATGCTGATTTTAATGAGCATTGATTTTTAAAAACTTTTTATTCAAGTATCATGGTCACACAAAATAGTGCATGTACCATAATTGTTCAGCTTGCCACATCCTTACTAATTGAGCACACCTGTGTAACCAGCAAATTTAAAGCACTTTTACATTTCCAACAAAACAGACATTAGTACTGGGCCAGCTGCAGAGTGTTAGCAAGATCAAGCAGGAGACTTAGAACAGTAAGGCTCCAGGACTGGTCTGATCCACAGCTTAGGGGCCCTGGATTGAGACTGAGAAACTAGGGGAGCGAGATGGTATAGGAAGTGGACTTCAACTACCAACCTGAGCCTTGAGCCAAAGCTTAAGTCTGCTTACAGTACTGAACAAAAACTTTAAAAATAATTAACAGCTTCAATAAATGGTAATTCTGCTTTCTTTAACAGGACATGGCAACCCCCAGTCAAAGCCAGCACAAACTGGTTGCAGCCAGGATAAAGCCCAAAGTTGACCACTCACAGACCTTTTCCCTCATTTTAATACTAACTATTGCATCCAAGGGTGGAGATTTAACATGCTAATGAGACAAGCGATGCATGGAGACACATTATGGCCAGATGGGCAGCTGCCAACAAAACTCCACCTCTCCATGCTATGATTTCGATGCTGGTGCTAAACTTTCTCTCTCTCCCCTCTTTAAAAGTTTCCCAGCCCTCTCAGCCAATCTGATTGCTTCTTAACCAGCGTGTCTCCCTTATGTCCAAACATGAGCCTCATTAAAGCCTCACCGGTGACTCTCGTTTGACCTCGGGCTAATTTCTATTGCAGAGAGTCCAAGGGCCTGCGCGGGTAGCAGGAGGGGCCCAGCACTGAGGTCGAGGAAGAGGGCCCAACGCCGAGAGGGCAGAGAGAGGCGGTGAGGGCTGCCCGCTGAGGCGGGTGAGGCCCAGCCTGCCCGCCCAGGTAAGCCGGTTAGAATGCAGCAGCCGCCAAGCCCAGGCGCGGGCGCGTCCCGGTGACTCAACCGGTGCCAGGAAGGGGGAGTTCCTTCTGCTCTCCAGAGCTCCCAGACAGCAGCCTGATCCAGGCCGGCTCCTGGGGCGCCAGGCCCCCGCAGCCAGCAGCCCGGCCCTGGGGTGGGACCCCCTACTCCCGCCTGGCCCGCCTCCCTCCTGGCCTCAGCCACTGGGGCCCACAGCGGGGACGAGGCCACGGGTGGCTAAAGCTGTGCCGGCGCCGTGGGGGCCACCTGGGTCCTGGCCCCAACGGCGCCCCAGGACCTGCGAGCGCCGTAAGTAGCGACTGCGGGGTCTGGGGGTCCCTCAGTCCCTTGTCCAGCCCCCTGCGTCCCAGCTCACCCCTCCCAGCCCCAGCTGACGCTGCTGCCTCCCAAACTGCTCACCGGCCTTCTTGGTAAGGAGCCCAGACACGGCTCCTGGGCGGCCGGGGTCAATGGCCCAGACGCTGTCACCCCAGCGGATGGCCCCACCTGAGGACCATCCCACGGCACTCCCAGCCTCACCTGGCGGGCGGCAGGCTCCACGCTCTCTCCCATTTTCGGGGCCGGGTCCCAGGTCAAGCTGCACGTCCCTGCACCCCCTCAGACTGCCTAGCAGCAGCTCCTTCCTGCCACCACAGCTCACAATCCAAATGTGCCCCCGGCTGGCCCCGCTGGGAGAGGCCTCCCCCTCCCCTTCCTCCAGCACCCTCGTCTTAGAAGGCCTCGGAGCCCGAACAAGGGCTGAATTCGGAGAATCTCTCTTTGCCTCCAAAGTCGGTTTCTGACACGAGTTCCCACGCAGGGCAGAGGGAATAGGGATGCTCAGATCTGCTATAGGACAGGGGGGCCGGACAGTCACTAACCGGAGTTCCCAGAGGGACAACGTCTGGCGGCACGGGCGCGTGGTCTGTGAGCCCCAGGTCCCGGGCACAAGGCTTGGGACCCCAGGCGTAGACCGAGGGGGGTGGGCAAAGGGTGCCTGAAGGACTTGTTCGCTTCCTTCTTTGGGGCATCGAGATTGGGGGGGGGGGCGCAATGATTCAGACAGTTGGCCCGAGGTAGCTGTGGTTTCTCTCGCTCTGTCTCCTGATTTTCCACAAACTTTTGCGGAGTTTAGGGCAGATGAAGGAAAGCGCGCAGCCCCCTGTGCAGCCCGCGAGGCTCTGGGCCTCGGGGGGCGGAGATTTGGGGAGACTGAGGCCCCGCTCTGGGAGCGCAGGGGAAGCGTGCCGAGCCGGCTTCCTGTGGGGGCTCAGGCCTCGCGCGCCCCGCGGACAGACGTGTCCGGCCGGGGCAGGGCCGAGCCCGGCGCGGAGGAGGGGACCGGGACGGGGGCTACTGGGAAGGCGAGGAGGGGCGGGGAGAGGGTGGGCCAGGGAAGAGGGGAGGGGAGAGGCGAGCGGGGGAGGAGCGAGGGGGCTGGAGGGAGAGAAGGAAGAAGGAAGGGGGCGAGCGGAGGGAGCTGGCGTCCGAATGGGAGAACAGAGAGAGTGAGAGGGCGGGCCGCCGGGCGAGCACCGAGGAGCCGAGTGGCCCCTCGGCGGGGGCCCCAGCGGCAGGCGCATGGCGGGCCCCGCGCGGTGACCGGGCTGGACGAGAGAGTCGCGCGCGGCTTGCACGAGTAAGTGGACGGGGGAGGCGCACGTCCGCGGCTGGATCGCCCCCTGCCCGCCCCCAACCCCCAGCCCCACAGAAAGGTCAGCCCCACCCGCTGAGCCCTGTTTTCAGCAGGTCTCGGGCCGATGTACCAGGTGAGCAGCCAGAGCCCCCCTCACTGCGACGCGCCCCATGGAGCCCCCAGCGCAGCCCCGGGCCCAGGTAGGACCCGGAATGGAGAGTAAGGCTGGACATGAGCGCGGTGGGCGGCTGCGGGGGCCAGTTGCTAGTTCTCCCCACTCCTGCCTGAGACTCGGGGAGACGGCTCCAGGGAGCTTGGTGGGGGTGGGGACGAGGAGCCTGGGCATGGGGACCTGGTCCAAGCAGAGTAGAGGGCTGGGGTGAGGGGGGCAGGGCCCGGAAAAGAAGCTGCGGCTGCGCCAAGTTGATTTCGACCTCCCTCAACCCCGACCCCAGACACACAAACACACAAACACTCTCTCACTCTCTCACTCACACACTGCAGTGTCTGTCTGTCCGTCTGGGATTTGCGTCCCAGCCGTTTCTGCCCAGTGTGTAAATATTTATGGGGGCCTTGAGTGGGGAGCTGTCTGAGTCTTTCCTTCCCTTCCCCCAGCTCAGGCAGAGCCCGAGCTTCCCAAAAACTTTTGTCTGCCGCCAGCGGCTGCGGGACCGGCCCCTCCCCTCTTTCTTGCCATCTCTCCCTCGCTTGCCTTTTCTTACGGCCCAACGGCCCAACAGCCCCTGCCGCTCCTACGCTGCAGGCTGTGCCTCTTTCTCTCTCCTGGCCCCAATCCAAGTGTGGACCAAGGGACACTTTGCGACTGCTGAGGGGGTCTGGGGTAGGGCCCTGCTGGCTGGGGCTCTCTGCCCCTTCCCCTCCCTGAACGCTGTGCGGAGGCCTCAGCTGAGGCGCACAATGGAAGCCGTGCTCAGGGTGAAGCCAGGAACATCTGGGATGTGTTTGGGGGCAGGGCATGGGGTGCCCGCGTGTAGGCCCAGTGCTCATGGATTGAGTCCTTCCTCTAGGGTAGTGTCATTCTTTGCCTTGCTCCTGCCAGCCCCGTTCTCCGTTTCTCCCCTCCTTGGTTCTCCAAATACTGAAGGTGCCTGCGCTCCTGGACCTCTGGCACTACCTCCCTGCGTGGCCTTGGACCAGCTTCTCAGTCTCCACACCCACCAAGCGGCTGTCTGCCTGTTTGGAGGGGCCCAGCTCAGTGCCCCATCTGTTTGGTGTGGGTGCCCAGCTGTGGAGCTAGGGGGTCTCCTAAACCAGAATGAGGACAAGCAGGAGATGTCTGGCCAGTGGCCAGCACATAGATGAGACCAATATGTCTGCAGCCCATCTTGGCCAACCCTCAGATTTCCTCCTCTTTCTGCGGGGCCCCTGCAGCAGGGACTTCTGGGGAATAAGTTCCTCCAAGAACTGGGCTACTACTCCAGGCAGAAGGGAAAGCTAGGGGCAGGAGGCTCAAAGGGTCTTTCTCTGTGTCTGGGAACCTTCCTTGTCCCTCTGAGCCTCCCCCTCCTCTCTTCCTCAGCCTCCTGCTCTCTCCCATCCTCCCACCTTCCCCTTATCCTTTCTCTCTGCTCTCTCCTCCACTACCTCCTCCCAAGCTCCCTCCCTCGTTTGACCCATTCTCATCCTCAGAGCAGGAAGAGGGGGCTAAGTGTGCTCAGAGCAGGGCCCAGGCCAGGGTGGGCAACTGGGAGGCTTAAGTCCTGGGCTGTAACTTGAGGCCCCTCTGTACCCCAGCAAGCCCCCTCCCCAGCCTGGGCTGGGCCAGACAATGTGGCTTTCATAACTCAAGGCCTTGCTCTGCCACCGCTCTGGGAGAATGAGCCTGCTGCCCAGGAAGCCCAAACCGCAGGAGACCCAGCCAAAACCCCACAGACGCCTGAATCCGAGACCAGAATCCCCCACGCTCTGCTCCCTGAGCGCTGACAAGAACGGCAAGGCCACAGCGCTGCCCCTGGGGGCCCTACTGGCAGGACAGCCAGGGAGCAAGTCGGCCACCTCCCTCAGCCACCTAAGATGCAGACAGGACACAAGGGGACTCAGGACAAATCTGGTGGGGGCAGGTGGCCAAGCCCCCACACCCTTGGCTCCCCCCACCAGTAGCCTCCTCCCCACCCACCCTGAGAGCCCCAGGAGCCTGGCTTCCTAACCCACAAGCAGATTTCTGCCCAGCACTGGGGCGTCACATTCCTGCGCATGGTTCTAAATGGAATTTCCTGGGGAATTGGAGTCTGCAGACCTAAAATAAAACCAACTCAGCCCAGGCTAACTGGCCAGCTCAGACCCTCTCCAGCTCTCAGCTTGGTGGTGGCCTGGGACTGTGACCAGTGGATTCACATTAACCGTGGGTGCATCAAAGGAGTCCACGTTCTCCGTCCTCTTGGACTTCGGGGCCAGAGGCCACCCCTAGTCCTCAGCCCTCTCTCTCTCTCCCCTTCCCTGACTGGCATGCCAAACCCCAGAGCTCAGTACTCACCGATAGACATTGCCCGAGTGCCCACGAGGGCTGCAGACGTGAATACTGGCACCACCCCGCGGGTGGTTGGGGAGGGCTATAGTCTGGCTGAGGAGCCAGGACTTCACTACCAGTTATAATTAACAAGAGGTGACACTGGGAGCTAAGTTCTCAGCAACTGGGCCACTTGGAGGAGGGACTGTTGGCCCAGGGGCCAAAGAAGCTTTCTGGAGGAAGAGGTGAAGCTTGAGGTGTGTCAGGAAGGATGGGTTGGATCTGGAGAGTGGGAGAAGGGAGGGGTAGGACATTCTGGTCAAGAGGAACAGTAAGAGCATGGGTGGGGTGGTCAGAAGGCCCAGTGGTGGCCCAGGGCCATGGAGAGGCCAGTCTGTCTGAAACACTGGATCCTTGTGCATTGAAGATTAAAGGTGAGGACTGAGGCCTTGAATGCCAGACCAAGGAGAGATCGAAGTGTGGGGTTCCAACCAGATGAGGTCCTGGTCCTCTCTTTCCAGAGATGTCAGAGCTCCAAGGGGGAACCCAGATCCATTGTCCACAAAGATAATGACAAGGGGTGGACTTGAGGGACCAGGCTTTGGAGCTCTGGAACGTGAGCTTCTCTCCACACCAGCCTGGGATCTTGTGGCTGGAACCCCCATGGGCACTGTCCAGGCTTGAACCTGTGTACCCCCCAGCTCGGTGGACAGCAGGCAGCGGGGGCCCACAGAGTCCCTGCCAACGCTGGGAGTCTCTCAGCCTTCCCTCTTGGGCTTATGGATTGACGGATGGCTCTAATACTCCCAGCTGTGGCCAGCTGTCTTTCCAGAACTGCAGGCATGGCCCTGAACCTTGTCCCATGCTAGGAATAAGAATGTGTTGAAACAAAGGGGCTATTGCCTTTCTGTATTTCTCCCCTGTGGATTGGGACCCTTGAGAGGAGGGGTGCAGGGCTGGGGGCTTCTGCTCAGAGATGCCACCAGTGTGTATGACACCGCTGTGCAAATTAGGAAAAGATGCCCCTTTGGGCAGATGGTGCATGTGTGCGGCTAGGTGGGCAGATGGCACCTACTAGGAGGACAGGGCTCCAACCAGGGACTTCAGCCCCACCCACTCACCTGCTCAACTGTGCCTTTATGCAGGACATCAATTGCACGGCCACACAGTGGACTGTGTGGCCACCCCTTCCCTGCAGCCCACTCCACACCTCCACCCTCCAGGAGTTTCTTCTCCAATGTCTCTTGGTCACAGAAAGGAAAATGGGCTCTTGGGCCTTGCCTCTGGCCTGCCCTCTCTGCTCCACCTGCTCCACGTGGGAGCTGCTTCTTGGTCAGCATCCTGGTATCTGGGCCCCCTGGGGCAATGTCTCCTGCGTAGATGGGGTCTTCCTGCCACTGCTTCTTCCTTCTTGTTCTCCTTCCCTGTCTCTGGGCACTTGGTGCAGCCCCCTCTTCTGCCCTCAGTGCCGGTCTGCTGGGTCCCCTTTGTGCCCCTCCCGGCTCCAGGAAGTCTCTGTCCCTCCATGTGTCTCCGGTTCAAGATTACTGGATTTGGTTTTCTTTGCTTCCTAGTTTTCCCTCCAAAGTCTGAGGCCTGGCAGGCTTCCTGCAGGACGAGCCTCCTCGGGCCTTGGTCTGGGCTCTATAATTGCCTGTTCCCGCCAGGTTCAAGGTCGCCAGCCCTGTAGGCGACTGTTAGGAGAGACTGCCCAGGGAGTGGAGACGCTGGGTGAGGAGGACAGAGGTGGGGACTCTGGTCTTCTTAAACCCTCTTTCTCACCTTCCTCCCTCTCTAACCCCGAGGGCCAAGAGAGCAGAAATCCTGGCTGTCTCCACTGCAGGACTGACAGCGTCACCCCCGTGCATCCTGCTGACCTCAGGAGGAAGCCTGGGAAGTGACCACAAGGCCTGCCGTGCCCGGCTATGGTTCTAGGCTTCCCAGCCTCAACACCACCAAATGGCACGTGGTTCCCCTCATCCACGCTGCAGCTGCTCGCTCTGGGGCCGGTTCCTGCTGCTTTTCTCAAAACTCCCCTTCTTGGCTCATGCCTGTTCGGGGATCCATGTGGGTGTGGCCTTCTCCTAGTTGCACGCAGATACACCCGTCTGGGCCAGGAGCCCGTCTTCTGTGCGTCCACGATTCCTGCAGGTGCCCCTCTTGTAACTTCTGCCCCTCCATGCATGTGACAGCCACCTCCCCCCCCCCCGCCCCATCCTTGCAGGGAACTCCTCAAGCAGTGACCTAGTCTTTCTCTTTCTGGTGCACCCAGTGCTTGTCACATTGCTAGGTGCCTTGTAGGTGCTTAATTGCTGTTAAAGAGCACAGAAAGAGAAGGAAGTAAGGGAGGGAGGAGCAGGTGGGCGGGTGGGTGGGGGTGTGCATGAATGAGCCCCTGCGTGCCAGGGCGCTGCTGAGCATGTTATTTACTCCTTGAAGCCCTGAGAGGTGAGCATTAGGATCCCCCGTTCACTCAAGGTGACCCGAATTCTGGTAACTTGCCCAAGCTGGCCCGCCTGGACAAACCAGGGCTTGGATAGTCTGGCTCCTTTCTCAGACCTTTTTAGTTATATCACCTGGGAGAGTCAGGGCCCCCAGTCAGGGCCTGGGGCCACAGCAAGATGCCCCAGGGGGCCAGGGCCTGCAGCAAGGCAGGGCCCTCCCTTCCTGGAAATTAGGACCCGAGCCCCGAGCCTCCTTCTTCATGCCAGCTTAGCCTTAGCCATCAAGAGCCACGTCTGCGCTGGTGTGGGCCAGGCTTGGGTGAGGAGGGGCACCATCTAGCAGGCTGCACTGTTCCTCTTTGAGTGTCATCTCCTCTTGCCTGCTTCTGCTATCCCAGCCCTGCGGCCGTTCAAAAGCCCTTTGGCTTCATAAAGGAGGCTCTCAACAGGCCCAAAGATCAGATGGGGCTGGAGGGAAGCTACCCCCACCCCAGAGCTGTGGGCGCCATGAGGGCTCCTAGCATGCAGCTCTGCTGCTCCCCAGGCATCCCGGAGCCCCAGCCCCTCCCTCTCCCACCCTAGCTCCTGTCTCCAGGCAGGGCCTGTGGTTTGCCCTGGGCAGGCGTGAGCATGCACACTTGGGCCTGCCAGCCTCCGTGCTACCCACATGGGCCTCTGGGGCCTCCATTCTCCTGGCCATGGGGGCCAGGGTCTCTGAAGAACAAGGGCTCTTCAGGGGTTCAGTGTCAGAGGCCACAGAGGGATGCTGTGGGCCGTGGAGGAAGCCAGGCCACCGGATCTTCCTCTCAGTGTGCATCCAGCTCCCGCCCCCAGACCTGCAGCCCAAACTTTAACCGATCCCTCTAATTACCTCCCTCCTCTGCTCTCATCCCTCTCTGTCATCTGGAGGCAGCTCAGACAGGGACCCCATGGCCCATGTGCAAGCCCTCTCCACTCTCTACGATGGATTCCGTTCCGTCTCCCTGTCTGTGTGTGTCTCTCAGTCTCCTTGGGGGGTGTGCACGTTTGTGTTCATCTTGTGCTCTCCGGCCTTCACTGCTGTGTCTCTTCATCTTCCTCTGTCCCCTCTGGGTCCTCTGCCTCTCTCCATGCCCTTTTGACCTCCGTGTCTCTCCAAGTCTCTTGCTTCTGCATCTCCCCTGCTCCCCCTCTTTCTCCCAATGTGATAGTGGGAGGAGGCAGGTGGGGAGCCACCCTCTCCAGACCCCTGTCGTTCCGACTGCACAGCTTGGGGTCTATGCGAGGTGCAGGCTGCACCCTATACCCTGTCATTGCCCAGGGCTGCAGGCTGGGCCCCGCCTGGAAGCCCTGGCTTTACCCTCAGGCCTCCCCACACCCGAGGCTGGGGCTTTGGGAGCTCAGGCCCCTTTCTCCCTGCACCCACTTGCCGTCCCCCCCACCCTTCTTCCCCTGCGCCCAGGGGCCCTGGTCCTGCCTTCTCAGCGACTGTGGGTTTCAAGGTGGCTCCATTTCTGCCTTCCGCCGCCCCTGCACAGAGCCACTGTAATTACATGTGGCTGCGGTTCGCCTCTGCCCCAGCGCTCCTGGCTGTCTCCTCGCCCCTTCCTGCCTGCGGCCCCTCCCTGCTCCTTACCCCCAGGTTCCTCGGGCTCCTTCCCTGCCATCCCCCCCTCTGACCCGGTTCCTCCCTGTCTGTCTCCCTGAGTGCTCCACATGGCACCCCCTTCTCCCTCTTCCACCCATCTCTGTCTGTCTCTCCACTGCTGACTTTCATGCTGTTGCTGGTCTACTCCTGTCCCAGCCGGCAGTCACTGGGTTTCTCTGTTCTTCCGTGCCCGTCTCCTACGGTCCAATGCTCTCTCTGCTTCCACCTTTCGCTGCCCCTCTGGTTCTTTCTCTCCATGTCACTCTCACTGCTTGTCCCCATGTCTCCATCGCTGGCCATCTGTCTGTTCTCTCCTGCACTGTTCCTGCCTCCTCTCCCATTGCCTTTATACTGCCGTCTCGGGCCCTGCCGCGACACACACACATGCATGCACGCACACACACACACACACCCTTGCTCATTCACAGATTGTGGTTTGGGAGCTTTCTATTTTGGAGTCTGGGACTGTTGTCAGCTAGGGTAAGGGCTGGGTGACTGGTGCACAGAGACCAAGACTGAGGGCTCACTTGACACGCTAGGCTGGGGCCCGGGCCCTGGCTGGGAAACAGGAGGCCCCAGGAAAACATACCTCAGTTATCTGCTTTTTCCCTAGCCCAGACCCTGTCCCTCCTGCCTGGGCTGGAGGTAGCAACAGGACCCACTCACCCTGCAGAGGCAGCACCAGAAGAGGGCTCCCTGGAGGAGGCGGCACCTCCCATGCCCCAAGACAATGGCTCTGGGGCCCCCCAAGCCCTGGACAGCACTGACCTCGATGTCCCCACAGAAGCTGTGACATGTGAGTCCTAGGGAGCTGGCGGCTTGGGGTGGCAACAGGTAGGGGTTGCACTGGGGAATCCAACCCCAAGAGGTTGGCAGAAATGCAGTGGCTGTGCATGGGTGCACCCACTTGGCCAGGCCCTTGACAGTGGCAGCATGGGCAGAGGAAGGGGTAGGGCACTGTCACTTGCTTTCTGTGGAATGGGAAGACCGCCACTACCAAACGGTGAGGACGCAGGGGAGTGTGTGCAGGCTCCAGGCAGGTGGCTCAGGGCAGAGAGCGTGAAGCTGTGTGGAAGGAGGCAGTCTGGCCTTGGGAAGAGGTCTAGGGGCTGGGTGGGACAGGGAGCTGGAGCCAGTGCAGCCCCATCCTCCAGGGATCAAGGATAAAAGGAAGCAGAGAAGGCCCCTCTGTTCTGGGGAGAAAGGAGCAAAACTCAGCTCCAGCCCCAGCCTGCTCCAGGGTCTGCAAGGAAGTCCTGGGAGCGAATTCTCCACCCTCCCCTCGAGAGCAGGGAAAGCGGCACTGAGATTGTTTTATAATAGCAAAAGATCCTCCAAATCTATAGACACAGTTTTACCTTCCAACTTTCTCTCCTTAAACAAGTTCACTTGCTCGCCAAATCAGCCTGCAATAAGGCAGTAGGGTAGCTACTGCCCAGCCCATTTTACAGATGAGGAAACTGAGGCCCAGAGAACGGCTCACCTTGATCACATGCTGGGCAACTCGGGTCTCCTGGCCCAGTGCTGTCTCCTGGGCCTGCCTGCCCAGCTGGCATGGCTGAACAGGAGCCGCCTTCAGCCGGGGCATTTGGGGCTAAGCTGGACTCCCTGGAAGTCAGGGTCACTAAGTCTGCTAGCGCGCTGCCCCCAGCCTCCTGCAGACACACCCACCAGCAGAATTGAGAGAAAGAGGTCAGTGCTGTGGCCGTGGAGAAGGGGGCCTGGACAGGAGTGGGACAGACACTCCTATGTCTGTGGGCCCTGAGTGTTTGCTTTGTGACTCAGCCCCCAGCCTGCCCCCAGGGCCACCCCCACGGCCATGGCCACAGGCAAGCTCTGTGTCTGCCCACACCTCCCAGGGCCCTCAGCTCACCACACTCACGCCCTCTGGTCACTGTGCCCATGTTTAGGCAGCAGGGCAAGGGGCACAGAAGCTGGCCAAGGACTTGGCCCACTCACAGTCTGTGGGGCCAAGAGGTGGGGGCAAGATGATTCAGGCCTGGCCACTTCCCACGGCCTTACCCCTGTTTACCCGGATGCAGGCACCAGCCACACCTCTTGCCAGAGGCTCCCAGCATGGAGGCTCTCCAGAGCCTTGTCTCCCACCCTCCTGGACTCCCCACCTTGTCCTGGGCTCCTTTCTCCCCATCTCCCTGCCCCTTCTCCACTTCCTAGCTATGGGATCTTTGGCAAGCTTTACCCTCCCTGGGCCTCAGTTTTCTCATCTGTGAAATAGGGCCAATAATGGATCCATTGTGATGCTTAAAGAAGTTACTGCATGTAAAGCCCTTAGCACTGTGCCCGGCCCCTAAGAACTGCTCAGAACGTAAGCTGCTGTTATAGGAGTGGTGACCATTGTGACAGTGCAGCTTATCCCCCAGCCCCTGTCTCCCAGCCGCTGCCCCTGCCTGCCTCTCTGCCCTCTGAGCCCTGGCTCCTCATCTCCAGGCTGGTCTTGTCTCTGACGTTTACCAGCTGTGCGACCTTGGGCAACTTACTGTACCTCTCTGGGGCTCAGTTTCCTCATCAGTGAAAGAGCAATAGAGTTATGGAGAGAATTAGCCAGTGCTTAGAGCAGGGGCTGGCATGCAGTAAGTGCTCAATCAGTGTTGTGTCTTGTGACTACTACCACTACTGGGAGCCCCCTCAATCAAAGGAAGTACTAAGGCCCCCCTCCTTACCCCCCATGGCCCCCCAGACATCTCCCTCCTACACAGGCCAGGCCTGGGGGGAGTTGGGCATGCAGACCCACTCCTGAGGGACTGCAATGCCCAACACTTACGGAGGGTCCTCAGGGCCAGGGAGCCCACCCAGGAGTCAAGGGCTTGAGCAGATGAGGGGTCCCAGAGTTCTCAGTGACCCTTTCTCAGTGCCCCCCCACACCTGCCCTTATCTCTTGAGAACAGAACTGAGTCACCCAGTTCTCATCCCCGAGTGAGGTTTGGGAAGGAACTAGGGCTTGGGGTGGGGGTGGGGGTGTCTCCAGGGTCAGCTTCCCTGCCCCCCACTGATAAAGCTGAATTTGGTCCCTCAGCCTGGATGGGGACCCAGGGGTCCTGGCTTTGGGGGTCTCCCTGCTGGCCTCCCTCTTGCCTTCCCTCTCTCTTCACACGGAGCCCCTCCCCAGGCTCTGCCAGCTGTCTGCACAGGCAGGATGGGCGGGCGGTATACAGGCTGTGGCTCGAGTGGCCGTGCTCAGGAGGAAGGAGCAGGAGACAGAGGGGCTGCCGTGAGGAGCCCCTGGGTTCCAGGCCAGGCGTCCATCTCCAAACAGATGTTTCCAATAAATCGCCCAGCACACCAAGGGCAAAAACAGCTGGGGGCTTGGCAGAGGCCGAGGTGAAGGTTAACTGCTTCATTGCTGTCCTCCCTAACCCTAGGCAAACTGTCCCTGTCCCCCCACCACTGCCACTACCACCACTCTTGTCAAAATCCCAGAATGCCAAGAGCAGGAGAGTAGATTTCATATGGAGTAAGGAGGGGTCCAGGGCTCTGAGCCTTGCATTTCTGTCTTTTCTGAAATGAGCACTAGACTAATTCAATTTCATGGTATGGCTCTGGGCTAGTCATTTCTGCTATCTGGGCCTCAGTTTCCCCAGCTCTGCAGAATACAGGTGTGGCTGGGTGCTGTGAGGTGTATCCACAAATGCAGCCGGCAGGAATAGAGCAGGGCTCTGTGGGCTGCCTGGCCCCCACCTTTCCCATCGCCCTTTTTCTTCGTCTCTCCAGGCCAGCCTCAGGGGAACCCCTTGGGCTGCACCCCACTACTGCCAAATGGTTCTGGCCACCCCTCGGAGCTGGGCAGCACCAGGCGGGCGGGAAATGGTGCCCTGGGTGGCTCCAAGGCGCACCGGAAGTTGCAGACGCACCCGTCTCTCGCCAGCCAGGGCAGCAAGAAGAGTAAGGGCAGCAGCAAATCCTCTGCCTCCCAGATCCCCCTCCAGGCGCAGGAAGGTAAGCGCCCATCCCACCTCTCCCTGGGAGATCCTCCAAAGTCGGGGTCCTCAACACATGATCCACACCAGCACCTGCATCTCTCCAGACTGCTGGTCAGACGTGCAGAATTTCAGCCTCCTTCCGGGCCTCCTGGGCCTGGCTCTCTGTGGTGGGGCTTAGCAAGCCCTCCAGGGAGCCTCACGTACGCTCAGATCTGCAAACCTTGCAAAGCGCACCTGTTGGGTAGAGTGAGGCACCCCCGTGTTTCAAGGCCAACCCTCATCCCTGCTGTCCCAGAGTTGCTGTAGCAGGGAATGGAGCCACTGGGCTGACCCAGCGTAAGCCATTCTGTTTCTGGAAACAGAAATTGTCCCTAAGGAGTGACACAAAGATCCTCGGCAGGGCCTGCCTGGGCAGCCAGCCTGCCAGCCTCCCCTCCCCACGAGGCACGAGTTCAACATGGTGGCAGCTGCCTGCAGCTCGGTGGCTGCCTGACTTTCACCCCAGAATTTTTGATTGATTCCTGTCCATGTTGGGGGACCCTGGCCTGCAGGATCTGCAAACAGGATTCAATTTACACATTTGCACATAAAGTGTTCGGGAACCTTCCCACCCCATAGAGCAGATTCCGCCCGACAGTCTTGCCTACGAAGGCGGCATCTATTCATTCAAAATGTCTCGGGCGTCTGTTGTGTGCTGCGTGCCTGGCTCATGCCCTCAGAAAGCCCTCACGAGAGACACACACACAGGTGATGGCCATAGGACGTGATAAGTGTGGTGACAAAGGCACGCACGGAGGATTATGTGAACACAGGGGACACCCACACCAGCCCAGAAAGCAGAGGGAGCAGGGCCGAGGAGGGAGTCTGGGAGGCTGCAGAGGAGGCGTCTGAGCAAGCCTTAGAGGAGGAGGACGCAGCCAGGGAGCAGGGGCAGGGGCAGAAACGGCTGGCACGGCTAGATGGCGGCATGCAAGGTGAGGAACTGAGGAACGGGGCTTCCTCAGCCAGGCGGTGGGCGGGCCTAGACTTCATCTGGAGGGCGATGGGGAGCCCCAGAAAGGTTTTAAACAAGGCAGTGGCCTCATCAGGTTTGCATTTTTAGAGAGCCACCCTGTCTAGTTTGTCTCAGATTGCACGCCCCTCACCCCTCCACAGAGGAACGCAAGAGGACAGGGTCAGGCCCTCCACAGCCGAGTGACACTCCCAGGGGCCCACCTGGCCAGGGGAACTGGACGCCCTGCCCCATGGCCTGGCCCCAAGAGGGGCATTCAGAGCATGCCCAGATTCCATTCCCAGCCTGCCTGGATTCAGTTCCCAGCTCCTACCAGCCGGGTGCCCAAGGGCCAGGCAGGGTCATGCATTAATTCGTTAACATTTATTTACTGACCACTTCCATGTACCAGGCGTTATTCTAGGGACTTGTAATATATCAGTGAACAAAACAAAGGTGCCTGTCCTGGTGGAGCTGACATACATTTCAGTAGGAGGAGATGACAATAAAGGCGAGAAAGTTGTGTAGCACAGTGGAAGGTGATGAGTCCTTGAGTCCCAAGGGGAAGACGAAGGTGGCCAGACAGGGCAGGGGCTGAGGAGGTGACGTAAGCAAATCTCAGTACACATGTCACAGCCTAGCAGCGCCAGTGTTGGGGGTGGGGGGGTGGAAGGCTTCAGTGACAGGTGGCCTCTGGGCAAAGGAGGAGGGCAGGGAGGGAGCCGTGAGTGTCTGGGGCAAGGTTGTCCCGAGCAGAGGGAGGAGCCATGGCGGTGGGGGCAGTGATGGGGGGGAGTAGTGGGAGAAGGAGACCCAAGGGGGCAGGGACCAGATCACACCAGGCCATGGGGCCGCTGTAAGGGCTTCTACTCCAGGTGAGGTGGGAGCCACTGGAGGGTTCCAAACCAGGGAGGGACAGGATCCAACGTGTTTCTTAAGGCTCCCCCTGGCCGCTGGGTAGCGAGTATCTGGTGGGAACGGTGGGCAGGGCAGGGGGTGGGAGACCAGTGAGGCGGCTGCTGCAGCTGCCTGGGTAAGACACGAACAGAGGTAGGATTCTGGATGTAGACTGAACTTCCCTGTGCCTCAGTCTCTTCATCTGTAGAGTGGGGCTAAAAATAGCGCCTGCCTCATAGAGTTGTTGGAAGTTTAAATGCATTTAATCCGTGCACAGCACCTAGAACGGTGCCTGGAGCATGTCATCACTCTGTGTGTTTGTTAAATCTGAACTACGGGCGGTTAAGGGCAGGACTCACGATCCCAACTGCCTGCGCTGGAGCCCCTCTCTGGGGTGCCTAACTCTGTGCCTCCTGGCCGCCACCTGCAAGACGGAGCTGTGGGGACGGTGCATGAGCTTAATGCATGCTGAGCACTTGGCCCGGGCGGCACACCGTGAGCACGCAGCCACCCTGCCGTTGCCGGGTCACGCACACGCACACGCTCTCCCCCGCAGACTGCTGCGTCCACTGCATCCTGTCCTGCCTGTTCTGCGAGTTCCTGACGCTGTGCAACATTGTGCTGGACTGCGCCACGTGCGGCTCCTGCAGCTCCGAGGACTCGTGCCTCTGCTGCTGCTGCTGCGGCTCCGGCGAGTGCGCCGAGTGCGACCTGCCCTGCGACCTGGACTGCGGCATCCTGGACGCCTGCTGCGAGTCCGCCGACTGCCTGGAGATCTGCATGGAGTGCTGCGGGCTCTGCTTCTCCTCCTGACCCCCGGCTGTCACGCAAGGCTTGACAGGCTTGACGCACCCTTCCCCCTGGTCCTCCCCCTCCCACCCAGTGCCCTCGGAAACCCAGCCCTGGGGAGAAAGGGTCGCGGGGAGGGCCCATCTCAGCCGTGGGAGGTGGGCCTCTCCTCTCCACCGAGGACCCAGGAGCCTTGGGGACCAGCACCAGGGCTGGGGAACACTGTGAAAGTTAGGGGAGGGCAGCGGGGTGGGGAGGGCAGGGCAGGGCCAGCAGGGCTGTGCGCTCTCTACCTCTCCCTGCCCTGGTGCCCGCCCGCCTGTCCCCTGCGAACCCAGGCTTTGAGGACAGCAAAATGTGAAAAGAGACACCCCACCCCGCCCCCGGCCAGCCCTCCCCGTCTCCTTTCCTGGGCTCTTGTGGGGGCCTAAGCCTTGCAGTGACCCGAGAGGGCAGGGCTGGGCACAGGCCTGGGGTGGGGCGGGAGAGGGGCCGTATGGAAAAGACTGGAAGGGAAGAGGGAGGGAATGGAAGGAGGGTCTGTTCTATTTGTTGCTGTAAATAAAGGTATTTGTCCATCTCAGATATCCTCAGGACTCGTGACTCACTTCCACAGACCGCACGGCCCCTGCAAAGCCCCCAAGAGGACAAGGCATCCTGCCCCTGGGGTCCTTTCCTCTTCGGCTCATCTCACCCCAGAGAGCTGCCCTGCCCTCACATCGCCTCCCCGGCCCATGTTCCCCGCTAAGGAAGGGAGGAAGGAAGAGGGGGCACCAACTCCGACCCTGATTTCCCTCTTCCCGCCAAAGGGAAGGGGAAGCCCAGGGAGGGAAGAGTTAACCCTTGGTATAGAATTAATTAACAGCAGATGCGTTCGGGTTTTGATTAATCTCCTGCTGATTCCAGTTTCTGCTCTTGCCCATGAAGTCACTCCAGGGCCTGGGGTGATGTCCATGTCAGTGGCAGAGGGGTCCCCAGTGAAGGAGTCACCCCAGGCCTGGCACAGCCCGGGCTTGCACCTGGCTTCACTGGGAGGCCAGCTGTGGCCTGAGTGGGGCTCACACACCCAGCCTCAGCCGGGCCCCAAACTGCCAGGTCCTGAACAGGAAGGAAACGGTGCCAGGACTGTGCAGCGCCCGTGGTGTGCAGAGGGAGGGGCGGGTCAGAGGACAACTGAGCCACACTGGGGGAGCGCAGACCCTGGCGTGGGCAGCCGGGCTGGGCGAGCACCCCTACATGCATACTGGACCTGGGGAAAGCCACAAGAGGTCCAGGGAACGTGAGAGGCTGCCCCATGATCAGGGAGACTTGGATTGTCCTAGAAGAGTTGGCTGAAGAAGGCTTTGAAAAGCAGGACCACAAGGGACATTAGTAGGAGCTGCTTCCAGAATGAGGAATTCTGGAAGGAAGAAGGGGGACTGGGGAAAAGGGCCAACTGAAATCCGAACTCTCTTAAGGAATGTCATAGGAGGGGCCTTGGGAGTGGGTTTCAGCTGCAGCAGAAGGAGGAGATTATGACAGGCAGTGAGGGGGACTGCCACCCCTCCCTGCACCACCTGCAGGTACACAGGCCTCATCTGGCCAACTTCAGGGCTTTCTGAGCTCTGGGAGCACCCAAGAAGCTCAGGACACAGGGAGAAAGGGACCTGCCCAGGGTCACACAGTCAAGCCAGGAGAGAAGCCCCTGGGCCCCCTGGTATTCATGTATTTATGTGTTTGTGTTGGTTTGTTTAGAATCTTTTGTTTAGTTATTTCGTGCCCCGGGTATAAAGGTTGCAGTCTAACCTGTGCACACTAAAGCATTTACACGTACCTGTTTTGTTTTTTACCATAATGTGAGGATCCCGTACACACTGTCCCACGCCCTGTCTCCCTGTCACTTTTACATCTCGGGGAGCTTCCCCAGCAGCAAACGAAGAGCCGCCTGGAGTTTCACTGGGTGGCTGAGCCACATTCCAGCGACCCAGCTCTGCTCTTAGCCCTTTCCCAAGCTCTGTTAGAAACAAGGCTGCGTGAGCATGGCCTTTTGCATGAATGAGCTATATCGGTGGAATGTTCCTGAATACGGGATTGCCAGGCTAACACTAACAGCACTGCCCAGGCAGTGTGAGGGTGCACCAGCCCCCACTCACGTGGCCTGGGGCGCCCGCTGCTCCCAGGGGAAGAGACAGCGTTTGGGCGTGTCCCTTTCAGCCCCTGGGGCTGGGGTCTGAGGGACGTTAGGGAGGCAGAGAGGATCAGGGGGTGGGGGGGTCCTGACCCACTGATATCTGGTCCAGGTGGGCAGGAAGGCCCCCTCCTGGCCCTCCCTGCTCAGCAGGGCCGTGGCAGGAAGAGGCGCCTCTGCAATCCAAACAGCGATTTCCTGCTGCAGGCTCTGGGGCTGTTTTCTTTAGGACAGTGGCTGAAACCCGAGAGGCTGAGCTGGGTGGGGGTGGGACAGGGGAGTAATTTAGCCAGCCCCCAACGCACATACACTCCGACACACACCCACTTCACACCTACACACACACACACACACTCTCCATACGGTCACATACTCACATTCCACACCGTCACGTGAACACCCACACACACCCCACTAACACAACATACACACAGACACACACGCACACATATTTCACATTTCACAGCGTGCAGCCGCCACCATCCCTGGCCAGCCTGGGGCTGGGCTGCAGGGGCCCATGTCCATTCCCCCTTCATCCCATGCCTGCCCTGCCTTCTTCACTCCTGCCCCTTTGCCCAGGTGGCCCTCATCCTATCGGGGAAGCAGATGGCATTTGTCTAGAGGCCACCCAGCCACCCACTCGCCCCTGCCCAGATACCCCCACCAAGGCAAGCCCTTGTTCTGGACCCTTCCCCTTGCCCCATGGTGGTCCACCATTGGCTCCAGTCTCTGCTTTCCAACTGGCTGGTCTGAGCCAAGTGACAGTTCTAGGCCTGTGCTGTAGACCCCAGAAAAGAGGCCCTTTGCTCTCTGGCCCTTAGTTTGCTCGTGTGTCCAGCGGAGCAGCAGGGACACCCTGGAAATCCAATGCCTGCCACAGCGTCTGGGGAATAACCTGCCTCTCTGGTTTTCTTTCACCTTCGGAGCAGCAGACTGGCCCACCCAGGAGACTTCTTGAGGGGCAGCCCTCCTCCCCTGGGTTGTCTAAACGGGTGAACATTGCCACACTTGGAGATAAAGTGGCGAGGCCAAGTTAAGCTATCCTTGGCCAAGACTGACCATGGCCACTCAGTGACCTTGTGCACCAAACCCAGGAGATGTTGCCCAATGACAGACCAAGTGGCTGAGCCAAGGGCTAGACTGTGGGGGGCAGGGTGATCAGCCCACCACCTGCCTCTGTAGTCACCATCAGTGTCTCCCTGTATTTGGAACATTTAACTGGCATTTCCTGTTCTTGAACCCCGAGCTGGGCAAACTGAGCTTCAAGCCCCACCCCGATCCACAGCTCCAGAGCCGCTAGGACAAGATAACTTTAAGCAGCCCCGATGCTGGACTGAGCAGGTCCATGCCGGCTTGAAGCCAGTCATGCCCAGGGGAGGTGGCCCAGCGCTGAGTGGGGCACTGGGACTGGTCCCCGAGCCTCTCAGGACAGCTGCTGCACACTGCCTGTCGCCGAGCAGTGGCCAACGGGACTCCACAATGGCTTGGAAAGCAGTAGCACAGTTGCCCTCGGGACTGGCCCTGGGAGAAGCAGGGACAGGAGCCTCAGGCCACAAGCGGGGGCAGCAGGGGGGACGGAGATCACAGACCTGGCCCCTTGTCATCTCCACGCTGATGCTCCCATCTGCGTTCTAACTTTCCCAGGATGGCGAGGACACACAGTGCGGGATGGCACCGGCAGCCACAGCCCCGCTGTCCCCTCACCTTCCACATCCTCCAGGGAAAGACCCTCCCAGCCTTTCCTTGCCCCTCACCTGGCTGCCCCTCACCACCTTTCCCCAGCCCGGTAGCCACCTCTCTACGGCGATTCCTGCCATCTCTAGGCCTGCTTCTTTCTGGGGACCGGCCTCATTTCCCCCTACTGCAGACAGATGGGGGCGGCAGGTGTGTCACACACTGTGCCCACCTGGCGCTGTCTCACTTTTACTACCTCAAGGGCCACACAGTAAAGGCCAGGGAAGGACTCGGGCTGGCCTGGCCTCCTGAGGCTGCAGCCTCCTTCCTGGGCCAATCACTGTGCCAGGGGACAGAGGACAGTGATTGGCAGGGAGTGTGGGTTACTCGGCTGCCCCTGCAGAACCACGTAGAGTTGGGGGAGGGAAGCTCCCCAAAGAGGCAGGGGTGCTGTAACAAAAAAGGGGTTGGGGAAGGCTAGCAGATCAAAAAGAGAGGAGTCACCGTGGGTCAGACCACCGAGGGTGGGGATAGAAGAGCTGCCTGGGCAGGGAAACCTTGAGTTGTCAGATGCAGCCGGAAACCTTGAGTTGTCAGATGCAGCTCTGGGCATTTGCCTGGGAGAGAAGGCAAGAGCTGCCTTTGACTATCTGGAGCTGGGAGGAGAGTGAGGCTTAGTCTCCGGCCCCAGCACGTAGACAGAGCAGACATAACAGGGAAAGAGAGCGCTCTCATAGTAAAAAGTGCCCGGGGCAATGGACTGCTGCGTCCCATGGGGTCCCCTGAGCAGATGTAGATGGGGTCCCTGCTCAGGTGCCGTCCGGGTGGCAGGGAGCACAGCTGGTGGAGGGTTCTTACAGGTGGCTCCACGGTTTCTCTGATTCAGACCTTCCGTGGCTCAGCCATGTGGACAGTGGCATCCGACAAGAGAGAAACACGGGATCGAGATGACAGGGGAGACGGAGTGAGATGAAGAAAGGAGTCAGAGACAGCGAGGAAGGTGGGATGATGCTTACAGAGTAAGGCTCGGGGAGACAGAGAGACGGAGCAGGCACTGCCGGCACGGCATGCAGCCCTCCCAAGGTCGCCCGCCTGGGCTGCGGGGGCAGTGGTGCCCCTCGCCCAAGTCCCTCCCGGGCACGGAGCCTCCGCAGAGCTGGGCAGCTCAGCATTAATTAGGGACCTGGCTAATGGCTCGGAAGATTGGCCAGTTCCAGGGACGCTGATGAATAGAGACCTTGGTGAGATTTATTCCTAATTATCTCATTTGTCTCCCCCCATTACTCTTTATGGCCGGGATTTATGGGACCATTAGGGGGCCCAGCCAGGCCAGGAGGAGTGTGAGCCTTGAGATGCTTCATAATAATAACAATAACAGTGCTCACCCTGGCCCAGACTGATAGGGATTCCTCTTCTTACCCTCCCCGTCCTCTGTCCTTGGGACCCCAGGTACCTGCTGCCCCCAGGTACCAGATACCCTGGACCCCTGGTCCTCAGCCACCTGTGGATTTCAAGCCTGTGGTCCCCTCTGCCTCCTACCCCACCTCTTGGACTTTCTCTGGTGCCACCAACTGGGAGCTCAAGGTAGCAGTGGAAGGACCCGACTTCAAAAGTAATACCTCTAGGACAAGGCCTGCATCAACGTGTCAGGCAGCGAGCAACAGAAAACCCAGACAAATGTGGCTTAGTCCATAAGGACATATGAGGACGTTTATTGTCTCCTTAACTAGAAGTGCAGAAGT